GGCGTGTCGATCAGCTTCTGACATGTATGACAGTTAACCAGAACTGAGTGTAAACTTTGCTCTCATCGACGATTTTAAGCTTTTACGAATTTATATTTACATCGTTCCATGTTCACACAAACTGGATTGTTCCTTAAAACGTTTATGTATGATATTTTGCCATAATGTACTAGAAAAATTCGTATTCATTATTTACAAACTATAACATTCTGATTTTACCACTTAAAAACATTTAGCGCAGCAACTTCTGATAAATACATTAAAAATTCAAAAAATAAAGTGAATAAGTTTAATAATCGGATAATGGAACGATAAGGACATCCAGATCTGGTATAGCTGTGCTTCACGATAAATCTGCGTTATATGCGCTGCGACGTGGAATCAAAAAAAAAAAAAGAAAAAAGAAAGAAACATTCACAAAGCTTCCTTAACACTATACCATGCCATTGAAATTACAATTTCGATCCCGTATCATCGAACGTGTCCCGTGATGATCGCGCACGCTAGTGTTACATCTTATACTCTCTTCTTGCTCCTTGCACATAGCAAGGCGATCACGTAATTAATTCTGCGATTTTTCATTTTTTGACCTTTTAGCTTCCCAGGTCCGGCAGACGCGATGCCACCGAGGTACTAAATGTGTACTAAACGCACTAGCGCTTGCGAAAGGCGACCGAAAAAACAAAAATCGTAAAAAAAAAGATCACAGCCTTTTAGCAGCGATCACTCGCTATCGGACTCTATTACCTAGGAATTGCCGTCTGCGTTCGTCGTTGAGTCCACGATAATTATAATAAAAACTATATGAAATTTACAATAGAACTTAACGTTTAATTGTATCGTAAAGTATGGTAAGGATAAGAAAGATATCAATAGAGGATATATAAACAATTATTTGAATTAAGCTCTTTTCTTTTTTTTTTCAAATACGTCATTAATAAATTTATATATTATAAATTGATCCATTAATCAATTTATTATTGGTAAACTTGCTATGTTAGCCTATTGTATGTTTAAAAAAAATTTTCGACATATTACATTATTCATGGAGTTTATGTTCGTAATTTTTTTCCTCGCTCCCTTTTTTTTATAAATATATAAATTCCGGTATTATCTAAGTGGGCTTAACATTTTGCTCGATTTGATGCTCTAACTGCCTACAATAACGTATATGTATATGATTTTGTTATATCCCCATAGTACATAGTATTAATTCTACAAAAGGTGACTTATGCTACAATAATGATGCTGTATAATCCGTTTTTTACACATAAGAACTTGAATATGTTTTCAAATGTTCATAAAGCAAATAATAGCAGTTATCACAATGTATCTTTATATAAAACCAATAAAGTGCAAATGTGAATGCCCTAAAGCAATCTTTATAAAAAAAAAAACTTTTTAATGTGATGTAATATAATTCATCGCTTCTTTTTACAGTCTTTTTTTTGTGCCTAGTAAAATCATCACTAAATTTAATTTTCTAATTGTAACGTGTATCACTATATTAAATATATATGTACAATTAGATCATTATTTCATTAAAGATCTATCATTTATTTTTATAATATAATTTACATAAGAAAATGTCAGTTATTCTTTAACCTGAAATAGATATTTCTTAAAATAGATATTTTATTTCTCTCTCATCTTTTTATACTATTTTTTATTATTAATGTTAAAGTATACAATCTTTACATGATTTACTTTACTTCATAGAAGAAATCATCAATTTAGATAGCGACATCCGGTAGAATATTAGTTGTCCATCTAATACATCAACTTGTGTCATTTGTAGCAGCGAGCAGAGCAAGTCAATTATTGATAATCAGCGTGCGTGCAATTATGCTCTTTAATATTCTTAATTCGACGACGTTATGCATTGTAATCTTGAATTTTAGGACAGTCTAACAACAACATATGATTATTATCTCTTTGTACAAGATAGTAATAATATTTGTACAGTGTAAGAATGTTCATCTAATAGTTTCTGAAAACGTGGAAAATTATTGGAAAACAAAAAATTCAATGACAATGCAGAACGCCAATCTCTAGCTGGTGCAGTTTACTTAGTTAGGCCTGTACTGTGAGAAACGCCGGTTTGAGAATAACCGTGCGATGAACGCGATTATCGAACACGTTACCCTGGTGGCGGTGGCTTGTCGACCTGCGATTATTGAAGAAACCGATTACGACGATTACTCGCTATGCGTGGCTACCCGTAGGTGCGGCGATCAGCGAATAAAGCAACCTGCGATATGTGGATAATGCGCCACAAATTGCGTTTGCGCTCAAAGCTTGGCGTGCTTTGAATTTAACCAGGAAAAGGTATGTTTAACGCGTGCGAACCTTTATACTTTATCTATTGAGACAAATCCAGAGCGCTTATCTCTCAAGGGGGGAAAGGAATCCTATCACCTATAATCACTATCTATATCAGTGTTTCCCATCTAAGTGCGAATGGAGAGTGTCCGGTCGAACAAAGTATAGAACTGTTAAACGAAAGAAAAGAAAAAAAAAAATCATCGATTACCGAAACGCGTGTAAAGAAAGCGGCCGATTTTCTTCTCGATTATCGTTCGGCGTGTTGTGCATTGCGACAGAAAGCGCATCGATTCTAATTCCATCTCTGCTACTTGTACAATCGCAAAGAGACTCTTGTTAAGATGCAACCGATACAACTGTCCACTCAGATCTCTGTCAAAAACGAATCTACATTGTCTAGTCGATTTTTTTTGCTCAAATGCTTCTTTCTGTTCTTTTACCTAATTATTAGGGAATTAGTTAAAGGAACATATTGTTTATATTTTTTTGTAGATTTATAACGGCTCACACAAACGATATTTTTATATAATTTAATAAATTATAAAATTTTGCATTATATGAGATTAATATTAATTTGTGATAATTTGAATATCAAATCGTTCGACACATTTAATACTTAATGTTCAAATATATTCGGCAATCTCTTTATAACTTAAGAAATGAAAGATTTTTGTAATCTAATTTTTTTAACAAACTAAAAATAGATTAATATAATATATTGCATCTCTTAATGCCGAAACCTCACGGTTCCCTTTAAATTAACGCGTCTGTATCGATGCTTTATGAGATGGAATTAGAGCGCAAGGTAAAAATGAATGCGATGCGTGAATTGAAAAGAATGCTGGTTTCTTGCTAACTTTTGCCGCCATAATTTGCGAATTGTTTGTTTTAATATCGTTATAATCACCGAATCTTGTTCCGCAGATTAAATTCTAAAATTTCGCTCGTATCTCGCGATGAAACTAAGCGCCACGTTGTAAGACACGCCGTTATGTCTTCGGAAGAACTTGATGTTGATTGAAGAACACCGTAGAAAATTTTCTCAAATTGTCGACCTGTACAGCGCTCCTATTAACTGTTCAATCGAAATGTTATCTTGTTATACTTCCCAAAAAATACACTCTCATTTTTTATGAAATATTTATCGGTATAAAACACATGTATATTCTTAATTTCACATCGCGTTCAAACTTCGTAAAATCATAAAGTCAATGGAAAACAAAATGAAATATTATATATAGCTACTTCACTAATCGTCAATAGTTTGTCTAAGCATCGATTTCATCTATCGTTCATACAAATATATGATAAGCTAGTTTCATTACTCACCCACAATTCAGTGGGATATTTTATGTACGTTTCCATATAATAAGATAATTTTTTTATTAGATTACAAACGGGATGAAGACAAATGACTGATGGACATTGAGATGAACTCAATGGGGACTGCTAATAATCCTCAGAAGCATTCACTGTCAGTGAACTCGTTTGCTCGTCCGGGGGACGAGAATTAGATGTGCAGAAGATGGATAATTGTGCCTGGCTGTAACGAGAAGTAAGAAAGCATATAGGAATAAAGTATGGAATTGCTATCACTTATATACATTTTTTTAACGCAATGTATAAACATAGCGTTGTTATATCGTTCACTATAATACGATAAGGTAATTCATTTTTTAAAGATAATAAAATTTTTCAGAGCGATATATAAGTTTTTTATATTTTTAATCCTGTCCTCAAGCTTGCCAAGTGTAATAGAAATATTTATTTAACCATTTATCAATTAGTTTCATAATTAGTAGGATTTTATTATCGTATCTATCAAAAAATGTATATATGACAAAGGAAGATAGAAAATGAGTTGGAATATATTTTTAATATGATTTTTATTAAAATGGAAAAATATAAATATATGCATTACATGTATAAAACTAAAATATATTTTGTTTTGTATTTTTCTTATTCAGAATATGAAACAAACATAATTAAGCATATATAATATGCAAAATTTATTTTTCTATCCCATCACCTTTCTGTAAAGCTAGCGCCAGATTATATGCGATTGAAAATTGTATCTGGCATTAATTTTAGAAATACACTGCTGACTACATATAGTATACTATAAGTAGTAACACAACACTAATAATGTAAATTTATGAAATGAGTAAAGCTATAACGTGTCGACAATATCTCTCAATATGGCACAATAAAATAATCTAATTCTTTTTTAATGATTAACTTCAATTTTTGCTGAAGTGATGAAACATCTGTAGTATAGTTTTTCGTATGTTTTTTTTTTATATCAGAGCCTAATGATATATGCAGACACGATTTAGATCTGTTTTGATTATTTGCACTGTTTTGTATAGGCTCTACTATGTATAAAATCATTTTTAGTAATAAAAATATAATGTGAATAATTGAATCGACAAAATATCTAATGTTGACATTATTCATATTTTTAGCTGATTGTATATTGGATATTTTATCAGTTCAAGTATTTACACTTGGCTATTTTTATTTATAACAGCCTTTGTAGTATTAAACATAATAAAATACTTCAAGTGAGAATCTCACATATTTAATTACCAAAAAAGTTATGAATCATTCTCCAAAAACAATTATCGTTATTTCTGAATAAACTTGTATTGTAAAAACTATTTTAGAAGGGTGATTCAGAACTTTTTTTGACAACTTAGTATAGCAATTCAGGATAATATTTAATTCTGATGTTAAACTCATAATAAACTGGGTTCTGGTCCAACACCGCCTGCGAGTCTATACACGAGTGAAGCTACTTTCACGGCTAGTTTATTAACATCCAATGAACACTCACATTCCGCATAAACTCGCACGATATCTTCAGTTCCAGAAGGCCTGAAAAGAAAATCATTTAATTTGTTGTAGTAACTTTTATATTTAAGATCTTCCAATAAGCTTTTAATGAATAAAATTACTTTAAAAAAAGCTCAATTTGTATATCAAAATATAAAAACGTGCTATACCTAACGAAAGATCGACCTCTTGGATATTTCGAGACGATCTTATCAATCTCTTCTTGTAAACAAACGGGAGTCAGGCAATTTCTTCCTGCATTCGTTGTTGTTATAAGATTTCTATCTTTCACTCTGACTTTGAGTTGCTTATTCGGAAGATCGTTGTAGCTTCTTTCCCATTCTACAACATCCCAGCCCTTGGCATGTAATATAGTTTCGACTAGTAACATATCGCTCAATGCATCGCCAACTGTTTCGTTTATTAAATCGATTACATCTCTCAATTTTGAAGAAGCCATTCTTTGTGTCGATGAAAGCATTTTGTTCTTAGCGTGATTCTTGATAGCTTCTTTAGCAGTATCTTTAAAGATGACAGTTCCATGTCCGTTTGCCTCGAAGTAGACTCCAATGTCAAATTCCAGTGCTTTCTTGTGCAGATGCTTCACACCAGTTGACACACACGCCACTGGAACTTTTAACACGTTCGAAATATAATCGGTTGAACCACTGTTGGCATATGCGGTTTGCACCAAGCCCAATTGTAAAGATAAACCACTCGTTTCCAATAGTTCCTTAAAGTAAGCGGCCACTAGCGTTGCTATTCGATCCCCATCCAAAAGGTGAAACTTATTATTCTCATCTATGTAAAAATACACCACTCTATCAGCGTCCCCATCTATGCTGGCGCATCTAATAGTCTTCTCGGATGGGATATTCAGAGGCAACGTCTGTTGTACTTTGACATAATCCGCACCACACATATGATTTAAGTCCCCGCTTCCGTCATTACACAACTTGATATCCAACACACCCTCCAAGTATCTTTGAAATTCCTTCGCTGCGATAGCACCTACGCCATTTGCAGTATCCAATTGCAATCTGCTTATGTACTTTCCATTATTTACTTCGGTGCCTCGTATGCTTTTAAATACTGCTGCTAGTTTCGAATAATAACCCTTCAGCGTGGGATCACCGTAAGCGCCATCAGTGTTCGTGCATACAACGACATAGTGTAGCTGTGGAGTCGTAACCAATTCCAAGTCTGTAACATTGCCGTTTAATGCTTTGATTCCTGCTAGTGCAGCTTTCAACAGGATGGGACTGCTTTTACGGGTATCTCGCCCTATTATCACCGTGGCTGGTATCGACAAGTCGATATTTTCCTTGGTAGATATATGTGTCAACATTGATATCAAATCTCCATCTACCACATTAGCTAGATTTGTCGCTATCGTTTCCCAAGAAGCTTCAAGCATTTCGCCAGCTGGGTCGACAAGTTTGATGCCATTGTCAGGCTCTAAATTGTGACTCGCTGTAATCATTAAACCTATGGCAGCTGTAAGAAATTTACTTATCAAGAAAAATTTGTTCAAAGTTATATTAAAAACCTGTTATTTTTTGCTAAACTACTTGCATGATTCATCTTTTTTCTTTTTCTCCAATATAAAAATGGATCATACAAGAAGTTTAGCTAAAAAAATAAATTTTATCCAGATAGCCAAACAGAAATTGTTGCTTGGTAGAAATTTCCCAGTTGCTGTTATGTTGCTGAACCCAAAACAATAGTAATTTCGTTTCGGTTAACTTAAAGGCATTATGTAGACATCAAACTGTCTGCACAAACCCAAATATTGTAAAAATTCACACAAAAATATTATAATGCACTAAAACTTGCCTTGACTAAATATAGCTTTTTACTTATTTGTGCTGTGATATTAATTATAAAGTTATCATATCTAATCTGTTTATAAGAGAGTAACTGTTGCCTAAGTGTTGCCATCAAGTGGCTTCAATATAACTATTGAATATAATAAAAATAGATAATGAAGACAATTCAAACAAAGCAGTTTCAAGCAAAGTAACAGTAACCTCTGGGCAATTTATTATCTGGAGTATGTTACACTATGTCTTTACCTTTCTTTGCTTTAGATCGTAACACAGCTAAGAGGCCCATTCTGTATAAAACATGCTCCAAGATATCTGACCTAAAATTGATACATATATCAAATTATCTTAAACATACGAGATATTCTTTTTGTATTAAATATATCAAGGGGAATAAAGTAAAATAAAGAACATTTTGCAAAATTCTCAGCAAAAGATTTTGATCAATTAAATAATAAGTGTTTCTCTCTATAATTGATATATGTATTATTTTATACGGTAGGCTAAATAAATGTTAATGATTTAAAAAAAAAAAATCGCGCTTACTTTGTTCTAAAGCCAGCGGTTCCATATTCGATATGTTCGTCATTTTTCCGACCGTACTCTGAGTTCACAATATTGTTGAAATAACTTGATTCCATTGTATCGATACGGTTTAACAGATGACGAAGTTGAGATTAAAGTGACAGTTCCACGTGAGAACGCGTCCTGCCATATGGTGAGTACTTGCATGTATTCACTCAACGCGTGCTCCAACATACAATTTCAGACAGATTATCTTTGTAGCTGCACTATGTAGCACCTTCCACACTTAAAATAAGATAGACATACATATGATATATGTTAGAGAGAAAAAGATAAACGTTCATCACAAGAGAAGGAATGGAAAGAAACCATAAGATGAACCATAACCATTCACCATCCCGCCATCGCCTTGTACAGTGGCGCTCAATCGGCACAGTTCCGTACTTCGATATGAGGCCGAGATGCAAGGGATGAACCGCACATGCGTCAGATTCGCGCGCTTCGGACGCGAGTATCCAGAGTATACTCCAAGATATTTTTCGATACTCTCACACATATAGAACATATGAAAATTATTAATAAGAGTGTATTTATTCTTTTCGGTGATATATAATTATCATTCGTAATCGAGTATAGTATTATATATATCACACAGAAGGGAAATGTGATAAAGCATAGCAGTATATTTTTGTCCATTGTTAAATATATTATTGATATACTAAATATATGCATAACTCATTTATTATTATATAAAACTCTTAAAATGTGGTTCAATTCTAAAACAATAAATTCATTAAATATAAGCATAAAACCACGCACAGGACCTTATTTGTGATAACTTATTGTAAAGACACTATAATTTATTAATGTCAATAACATAAATCTATATAAACGTTTCGGTCAGTATATAATTTATTATTTATTATTCATAAATACACCTCTTAAATAATAAATTCAATTGATGAGAGAAATCTTAGATGAGAGGGATCTCTGTGCAATATTATATATCAAAATTAGTTTTCCGATTCTTGGATGTAATCATATTATCTTTTATATTTTTTCTTTTCTACAATATAATTAAGAATTAGATATGGATAAATTAATATATTAATGAAATAATTTAAAGTTAACATTTGGCATCAATATATACAATATATATAAATATATATATCTATATTTTAATTTTTTATAATTACGAGATCGTACGTTATACATATTATTATATTACAATTAGATCTTTTATATTATATATAAATACATATTATTAAATATATATGTATATTTTATATAATACATATACATGCATATAATAAATTAAAAGTCATGTGTACGATATATTTAATTGTAATTAAAACTAAATGTATACATATATAAATTATATTATATATATTAAATCTATAGACATATTCGCTAAAAATTCTCCATTTCTTCAATTTTCTATTCTTTTAATTCTTTAGAAAGCTGCAAGTTTATGCTTGTGTTATTATATCACGTCACTTTCTGCTGCAATTTAATTTCGTACGTAGTTTGATCGAGATGCAGCAATTCTGGTACAGCATAATTTATTGACGCAATATTTGCTCAACATATTTCCAATACATGCCAATGTTTATAAACCAATGTCTCTCCAATGAGTTATTATGCTACTCGAGATGGTTCTTTGCTCTGTTGGGGGAGACATCGTGGAGCAAAGCGTGCCGATCAGTCTTCTCCGAGTGGTCGGTGCGCCTACGTCTCTCGTGAAAAACACGGGCGTGATGACGAATGGTAATAAATGCAATGCACCTATCGAAATTGACACCGCGATGAACAGCGATACCACTAAACAATTCATCAAGAAAGAAACGCTGCGGAAGATTAAGTCGATCGGCGGTCACGTGGGCCTGCTGATCACTTTGATGCTTTACACAGCGATTGGCGGATTGGTGAGTCTTGAGATAAAAATTATATTATATTGAGCACGATTGAAGTTTACTTTCTTTAATAATAAAGCCTTGTATATCAAATCCATAATACTGAAAATCGCACCAAGATCTCAGATGGAGAAAGAATAATTCTTCATCAAATCTTGTAGAAATCTTGTACAAATTTTATCTATTTACATATTTAATAGAATCCGATAAAATATGATAGAATTCGTACCCGATCTACCGTGATGCTCGCGAGGTCGACGATAGAAAATGATATAAACTTATAGAAAACACACACACAAACACACACATGATATAAATTGATAGAAATGCTATCTCTTTCTTAATCGTTCTCTATCAACGTTTTTTTTTTACCAGGGAAATCATATTTAAACAATTTGGCCATTCGATCAATACTATTGATTAATTCTTTCTACGGCCGAGATCTTGAAACGATTTGCAGCACAAAGTTTAAGACAGACATAATAAACAAAATTCAATGATCTTGTTGGCTACGACTTTTCCTTAGAATCGATGATTCATGTGAGTGAAGATTGATTTTACTTAACCAACATCAACTATAATATAACAATTAAATATACGCAGAAAGAATGATTTTACTGAAATATCTAAAAATTTAGCTACAGATCTTGAAATGATTTTATTAGTTCATTAAAATATTTGTGTAGACAACACTTAAGCATGATGAGCGGCAATGCTACAAAAAAATTTTAATATTCTAGCGATCAGTTTGAGTGTCTTACATAATTATATTTTGGTGACTCAACAAAATTTATTTTCGGATCTATATATTTTTAGCTAAATTTTTAGATATTCAGCAAAATTCTTTACGTATAATTATCAGTTATAATTTTTTAATATAACAATTATAATATAACTGTAATATGACATTAATAATCATATAATATATAAAGTTATATTGTAGAGTGGAAAATTATAACTATTTTTTTATAATTATATGTTACTTTTAGCTGGCATTTGCTGAGTAGGATGCCTTTTTCTGTAACAAACGGATTCGAAGGGAATCAAAATAACCGCGTGAACAATCCGTTTATTTTTCGCTTTCCGAATTCCTCGTCTATTCACGTCCGATTGATCGCAAGCACGCAAATCAACGATTTCCGTTCAAGTTCAATTTTGGGGAAAACTTGTCGGATTACATAGGACATGCGACAAAACAAAGAAGAGAGCGAGATGCTGCCGACAAAAAAAATTTCTTGAATTTATAAACTCCATAAGTCGTGCTCTCGTTTGAGAGACATCGAAATTTCCAGCGTGGAGTTAAATGTATTCGATGTTCATAAATATTTACATTTCTGTACAATAACGAACGGACTTATAGTCCGCCGTATCTTTATTTTTAGCGACAGACCAATCGCGCGGTTTTGGTTGGAAATATATTATACTACTGAAACCTTCAATGAAGTTCGGTAAAAATATCGAGTGCGTTGAAATTTACGATGATCATGATTTTTTAAATGTTCTATAAAACAACCGCGAAAATAACGTATATTCTAAACAATATTGCTTCTCAATGAACCCTATTCATTTACGTTCGCCAATTTCTCATCCCTACAAATAGCTCGAAAGACAATAATGTACATATCATACAAAATTAAATATTGTAATTAAAAAATGAATTATTCGTGATGTAACTGTTGAAATAATTAATAAAAAATTAATAAGGACTGTCTCGTTTTCTTCGATGATTTGTTTCCAATAACAATCGAAAATAATATTTCTGGCTAGGCTTGTCTTAAAAAGAAATTAATATATTTTATCCAATAAATCAGGAGTTAATTTCAGCACGCTTTAATAGCGGTATATGTATGTCAGTAAACAATAACAACGCGATCCTTGTAAACAGTGCAGATGGATGTGCATTTGTTTGATAAATACACACATATCGGCTGGTTTATTCTCATTAGCCTGAAATAATACTCGAAACTCGAGAGCAATATTTACGGTTTAAAGACTTTATCGTTTTATTATTGACTTATAAATCGTTAACGCGATATTGCTATAAAAATTATTTAATATATATCTATCTTCTACACATCTTCAATTTAACACATTAATCCCATCCCACATAGCATGTAATATTTACGTAAGTAACTTAATACAATGTAAAATAGAAAATATGCCCTCCAACACTTTAAAAAATAGTTTTATTAAATATTTTACACAAAAATGCGCTATTATTAACTTCCTTTATAGGATATAATTTTATTTAATCATTAGCTATATACACGTTTAGAAAACAGAGTTCAGTATAATTGTTGTCTTAAGCAATTCAGATTTATGTGGATTTATATATCAAAATTGTTTCGTAAAAATATTTTATTTTAAATACGTCTCCAGGTTTTCCGGCAGATCGAACTTCCGGCGGAGCTCAGGCGGCTCGAACGTTTACGCGCGAAATTACGTATGCAACGGTATCGCTTTGTGGAGACTGTTTCCAACAGTACGGACGTATTCAATCTGCATACCTTGGTGAGAAATTAGCGGCATCAAAACGTGAATGTTTCATCACGACACTCGGTGTCTTCCAGGTGAGCGTGGAATTGCGCACCTATGAAGAAGCGGTTCAGGAAGCAGCGGAGGCAGGTCTCCTGATCAGCTTCGTAACAGATATCACTGATCGTCCTGAATTTTCCGAATTGGAACTACCACCCATTGTGACGGAGAGATGGAATGTTCTTCAGGCGGTTTTCTTCGCCAGCACGGTCCTCACGACAATCGGTATCCAATTCTAATTCTCGCATCAAAGATTTTACTATTAAAGAGTTTATTATAATATACATAGAATCTCAAAGTACTAGGGTATTAATTTTTCTTTCTCGCAAAGAAAAAAATCACCTTATATTAAAATTCTGTCATTCCTAAAATCAGACAAAATTGGGAACGTCGTTACTGTTGTTACTCTTGTATAAAAATTTAATATTAACCGATTTAATATTATGAAAAACAATAATTAATTAAGATTTAGAGTATTATAAACAACACACCTTTTAATACTAAAAATAAATAAATAGAATTAATTACTGATGTTCTCTGGTATTAAATTGAGTATTAAACTTTTGTAAGGATATTACCTTATATATAATATTTATTTAATTTTAATTTTGATTCAATTTACTCTTATATTTTTTAAAACTAGAAAAAGATGGCGAGTAAGTTAAATCGAGGTTAAAGTAAATCTATTGTACATTGATGGAAACGAGTATTAGTTTGCTTTACGGGAATTTGCATTTGCACGATAGGATATGGCAATGTTGTGCCCTCGACCAACTGGGGAAGAATTTTCTGCATCTTTTTCGCTTTCGTCGGTATACCTCTTACTTTGATAGTGATCGCTGACTGGGGAAAACTATTCGCAAATGCGGTAGTGCACGTCGGATTGATGGTGAAGTCAAAACTTCCGTTTCTCGCGAAGCTTTCGTTCATCCCGACAAATGTAACCGGTCGGCGGTCACTAGGTGAGTTTAATTAACAATGAAATTGATTTAAATAAAATAAGCAAAAAGAGACAAATACGGTCAAAACTATGAATTTTAGTAATTAATGGTATTTATATGTAAATTTTAAATACGTACAAAAACATTTTAAATTAATTTAATCGACTTCTGATCCGGTGATCTCCTTTATAGGTGCCTGTGCTGCCATTATGCTACTTTTCCTTTATCTTGCCTGTGGAGCTGGTATGTTTATGCTGTGGGAGGATGATTGGGATTTTTTCGATGGATTTTACTTTTGTTTTGTGACTATGACTACTATAGGTTTTGGCGATCTCGTCCCAAGTAAGCAAAAATCTCTTAATTGTATCTCCATTGAGAAAAATGTTTTACCAACACGAAGTACAAATAAAAATGTTAAAAGAAAATAGTAAATGTCTTTAACGATCAAGCTCTCGAATCTTAAATGCTTGTAAATATTATAGTTCGATAAGAATTTATATATATTACTTATGTAGTCATTGAAATTACACACCGAATTGATTTTTTAATCTTAAAACGCAAACTCAATATTACAAATTAAATTAACTAGCAATTTTATAATTTGATACTCATGGACATCTTACAATTAGTAGGGTCTGTCAAATAGCTTTGCATTCTGAACGATCGATTCGTGATCTGTAGATCTAGATTTGATCCGGTCTGCGCTCTATATACGCGGATTTTCCTATTCATTAATTATGTATTCACATGTACAGACATTCTTGTTTAATATTGAAAATATAAATATAAATATAAATAATTGCGAATACAAACAGAACGTAATCTTGAATTTCAATGAAAGTATAAGGTAATTGACTAACATCTGTGCCAAATTTAAATAATAGTGTCTGTTAATCTCAGAGAAGCCGAAGTACACTTTATTGTGCACTCTATACATCTTGGTCGGCTTGGCGTTGACTAGCACCATCATCGAGCTCGTCAGACGACAGTACGCTCAGTCCTGGAGGAGATTGCAAAGACTGAGTGGTCCATTGGCTGAAGCTCTCAGGAAACTAGGCGAACAAGCAGGCGGCGATATGTCGGCGCTACACTCTGATCTACGGTATATATCTCTCTTCATTATTCCTTCTACAATTAACTATAGAGAAATTTTAATAAGTGATTTTCTTTTATCGATAATTTCTAAAAAAAAAAATGTTAGAAGAAGATTAACAATTAAACGCCAATTTTAGAAAAGTACTGACGGTTATATCTATGCCGCGACTAAAGTGGTCGGCGTCCATAGATCGGAGCATCACGAAAGATCAGGAATGGGAGGAAGCTGTGGAGGCAGTTCTGCGCGATATCGCAATATCCGGAACCCAAGCACCGTCACCCAAGAAGTCGATCGTGCAAATCGTCGTTTACGAGTCCAGCGTTTAATTTGTTGTTTAACGCTTTGAGGAAAGAGTTGTCGCGTTAAATGGCTACATTTTTACGCCCTAAATTAGGACCTGTACTCTATATAAGACAGACTTTTACTATAAATACTTAGTGAATGATCTCTTTTAAGTCAGATTTCGTTCGAAACTATTATAGTTCGAATCGCTTACGCCGCGATTATAATGGCTAGACCCATTTTGAATCACAGTAGTGTAAGGCAGTGTAGTGTATAGGTCTCTGGGTGTAAATGGGGCCAATTTTGCGAATATCCTAGCTTAATGATCAATTCATATAAGATCCATATGGATCTCGCCATGCAAAAGTGGATTAAGCTAGCGAGGACGAATGACTAAGAACAAACTCTCAAATTCAAACATTCACGAGCGAACGTGAATACAATATAACCGTTGATGTAAATTCGACCTCGTTCGAAGTCGCAGCGTCATTCACCCTCATGTATAGATATAGAATATCTATAGATATAGTGTATGCGTCTCTATGCCTTCATCGAAACTAGATAGTTTATTTAGCTACGTTTATATATTCGCATTTTTTTTTATCCAGATCTTTAGGCTTTTAGACAACATGCGTATTTACGAAAGACATCGTAAAAACATTATCAAGATGTTTTTTAGAACATATATACGTGTCCAAAAAATATCTAAAAGACATCATAAAGACGTCTTCTAAACACGCGTGTTGTCCAGGTTTGTTCTCTGTGGCTCAATAGATTCCACTTAAACTTTCTAAAAAATTGTTTTTGCCAATAAACTTGAAATGTATATTTATTTTATTTTAAGTGCAACACTAAGTTCAATCACAAAGAACAGACCTTTTTACATGTAACATGTTCTATCTTAATCTTTGTATTTCGCGCGCGTTGCGCCACGAACGTTGACGCGATGCGGTCGATGAAAAGCACCGAGAAGCGCATGAATTTAAGGGTCTCCGATCGACGCGACGCGGAGTACCCGGGGTAACGAGGAGACGGTTGCCTCGTGTATCGCCGGTCTTCTGATCAGCTAAATTTAGAAGTCGTGGACGACGCGCAGACCTCGACCTTTCTCGGCCGTGTCGTCCTTCGTCATCGCGGGCCGCGTCGAGCTCAAGGTGTCCGGCCGGAGCGATGGCGGGTTCGGAGACGTCGCGTGCCGAGATCAGCGAAAGACCCTCGGCTATCGTGCGCATCGCGTATCATGTGCGTATAACGATAGTTTTTCAGATCGACTGCAGTCGCCGTTTCACACGGCGGTGTTTATTTATTATAATATAATTCATCGTGCCAATTTCCATTATCGACTTGCGGACTTGCGGCCGTTTATACTTTTAACACTCGAAGTGCGACGTTGCGGAAGGTTCCCGCTGACGGAGAATCTTCCGCGATTCGCCGCGGCATCATGAACATCGTGAATACGATGTTAATCAAAGTACCATGTTCGTTGCAACCCCCAACCACGAATTGCCACAATTTCTGCGTTGACGTCACTGAAATCGTATACGCACAATGGCGTAATTTTAACATTTATTTATTATTCGAGTCGTGAAGAACCTTGATAGATTTTATGTGATCAAGATATACCGCGGAAGTTAAAATCCAACGTTTGAACCGATCGTGAAAACCGCAAAATCGACAACGGGCTATTTCGAGAGATTAATCACGTGACTTATGTCTATTTCTAATATGGATTAATTTTATTCTCGGTTACTTTTTATATTTTCGCACATGAATATTATTAAGCATCAGGATCCTCTTTATGATCGAAAATATAAGATTATTTCTTTTTTTAATTAATTTGTTCTTATTTATATATAATTGTGCATATTTTTCTAGTTCTGAGTAAAAAAAGTAAAGAGTAAATTAAACCGAGATTAAAGTTAACTTATTTCGATGAAAATAAATATTAAAAAGACTTTGATCCAATTTCGATTAATTTAATCATCGATTGCTGAAATAATAAAATGAAAAATATTTAAAAAACTAGAATATTTTAATATATATAAAATATATATTAAAATATACGGCCATTAAGATAAGATTTTATTTTTTATCTTATACACACACACACATAAGTATATATGATTTTATATACTTAAAATCATGTGTAAAATATAAAATCATTCGAGAAATCATTTAAATATATAAAATTATATATATGTATTTTATTTATAGAATTAGATGTATACAATTATATATATGTATTTTATATATAGAATTAGATATATAAAATTTACCTTGAAATTTTACAGAATTGCGAACTGTTTTCTGAGATAAAGACTTAACCCAGGAATATTTGGTGTAATTCTTACACTCCAATCAGCGAGAAAATAAAAATCAGTCACAGTAGTTTTCTTCAAACAGACAATTTACTTTAAAAAAAAAAAACGTTTAGCCAAAACGTCTTTTACACAGTATACAAAAATTAAATAAATTTATTAAACTGTCGAAATATATCTATAAAAACGGTATTTTAAACTATAATAAAAGAACGTTTAATAGACGTTATAAACTTCTTATAAACGTTTTTTAATAAATTTATTAAATAGTTTAAGAAATGTGTATCAAATTTTTTTAAAGGTTTATCTGTCAGTTTATATTACGTTTATATTACAGTTTATATACACATTTATTTCTAACGTTTATTAACTATATATCTTGAATGTCATTATGTTGCTTGACTATACTGATCGAGAATTCATAAGTATAGTTTCTTTTATTTCTCTTTATTATATTTTAAAAGAAGAGTATTGAATCTATAACGGTCTCAAATATTAATAAATTGTAGAACAGTAAGATACAATCATTAAGAACCGTGAATTTTAATTAGTAGATGCAAAAAATATTCTCCGGGAGGGGGGAGGGGGAATGATCGTTCATGTAAAAGGCCCGGTTGCACCAACACTTTTTGATTATAAGCGAGACTTAAAACTCTATCAATCTCGTTTTAAAGCCGAAAGGGAGACAGAGACAGAGACAGTTTAAGTTTCGCTTAAAATCGAAATCACGTTGGTGCAATCTGGCCTAAAGTGACTGTTCCAGAGTTAATTCTGTCTCTTCGCCGTTACGCAACACCATGGCCTTCTCACACCTGTCGTTTGTCCCACAGCAACTGAGCGTTATGTGCGGCACCCGCGATCCCACCGCGCCGAGCACCGCACCCGCGAAAGCCGGCGAGGACGCTCGTGGCATGATGTGCACACGTCGACTGCTGGGCCTGCCGGTGTTCGCCACGGTGACTTCGGCGTTCTGCGGCGCGTACAAAGCCGTGCGAGGCTCCCACGAGTCAGTCACGACGATATTCGGCCACGCAGAGAATGGAATGCGCGCGGGCCTGGAATTCACCAGCCCCGTCACCGGCAGCATTGCCAGCCTTCTAGAAACGCCGCTCAAGATCGTCGACAACGCGATATGCGTCGGACTGGATTTAGTGGAAGAGACGGTACCTTCCGTGAAGCTGCCGCCTGGCGAAATCTACGGAAACATGAAGGACAGCATCAGGTGATGGGCCCATGCTATTCGAGGCTCGATGTATAGAGTTCCTTATTTTATTTGAATTATAGTGTCTCTGCATCTTGATCCTTGTATACAAAAGCCCATTTACATATTTGAGATTGAAAATTACGAAAATTAACTTCAAATTAATTAGTGATTTATTAAATTGGAGATTAAAAATTTGACCAGTCGAATAATTTTGATTTAATTTTCATTCCATTTCGTTCTGATTTGTTGAATTTTAATTTTCAACTAGAAAAGGTCTACAATCCTCAATGTATAATATGATATTTATGATTATATCTCTTTCTAATTTTAATTTATTACGTATGAATATGTCGACATATATCAAAACTCTGATAAAAATAAAAATCAGAACAAGTTGAACGTAATGAACAGTAAACGCACTTTCTACGTCTTGTTATTTTAAATTTTGCCTCCGTGAAGTTTCGTTTACGTTTCTATTACTCTCCCATTACATTCGACTTATATGTCGTCTACAATACACGAAGGAAGAAGTTAGAATGAGAAATTAATTAATCACAGTCGAATGTAAAAAGAATAAACGACTATGATTGATCAATTCCTTTACTCTTACATTTTACTCCGTATATTGCAGACGACGCGTCACACTTCGATCTTTAATTACATCAAAGAAGGCATTGATAATGATTGTGTACAAAAAGATGTAATATGATAACATAAGTTACGTAGAAAATATAATATAAACATTCCTTTTGCGAAATTTTGTAAATTGTTGTAGACTAAAATATGGCGTAAATTGCTATAAAGATCGAAAGACAATGAAGTATGTACGTATTTTTTTGCAATTATACATATATTATAATAGTAAAATTAAAATGCATGTGAAAAGTTATATTTTAAATCAGTTTAAACCACCATTCTACAATTTCGTAAAATAGTGTAAGCAGTTGTAGTTATAAAGATTGACCAATCATGGTTAAATATGAAGAGAACATTCGACTGTGATTGGTTAATTACTTACAACAACGTTTATGCATTGTTGAATAGATTTATTTTATGGCGTTTTTGACCCGACCGGGTTTGCTCTAATTTGGGTTGGATTAATGACATTTCATGCTCTCCTATTTTAGTAGAGCGTGTAAAGTCCACCAATAGTAGAGTACTTTCTAACCCAGGTTGGAGGACCCGACTTTTTATGTAATGGTATTTTCTGGTCGAAAATATCATTACATAAAAAACCTTACTTAAGATGTTTATAACAATGCTTACGCTGTCAGAATTATTAATCAATTTCTTAAAGATAAATCAGTATAATGCAAATGATAATTATTTTTTGTTATAGGAGTATGTTCACGTCAGCATTAGAAACCCTCAAGCTTCTGTTTGGCGAACCAAAGGATCGAATAGAGGACTCGTCGGTTACAAACGAGACCGCACAGGAAATCCGAAAAGTGTCTAGCTGAATGTTAAAGATATGACAAGACGTGATTTGCACTCAGGCTTTCGTCGTGGCGTGTGATTTTCAAGCCACGATTCTGCACTGTGGTGTTTATTTACACTATAAAACAAATCTCAAAACAAATCTATTTCAGATATGCGGTTTGTAACTCGTGTCAAAATTCAGGATGGAATTTCAGCTTGTATAAATAGAATTTTCTCCTGAAATCGAGCGCGAATCATAAGTCTAATGCCCAATTTCTTTACTTCCAGATAGATTACGGATAATTTTATTCTGGAGATATTTTTTAGATAAAGTTATCTAAAGGTGAAGAAATTGAGTAAAAATTGATAAAGCGGGTTTTAGCTATAAAACGTTACGGCCGCGTTTAGAAGAAGTCAGTGCTTTGCGCAGGTTAAATGGTTCTTTTACGTCTAGAGAAACAGTCCTATCTCTCAGTTGAGAAAACTTTCAACTATATTGCAAAATAAATGCATAATTCTGCTGAACGCGGTCATTGCAATATAAAAATATAGTTAATTGAACACACATGATAACGCAATCGTCTCGATGATAAATAACATAAATGTGATAAAGTGTTGTAGAATGGTTGCGTTCAGCAGAGAAAACTGATCAGTGAGCACTCAGTGATTCTTCAATATGATCTTGCCTTTATATAGTTTCTCTACTTTTTTTCCAAGGGGATTTTTAAGATTAACATTTATAATCGGTTCTTCTATTTATATAAGACTGTTTTAAGTCCAGTTTTAAGATGTTATGAATCACCAATTATAGAGCCGTATTGTGTGGCATATTAAAATATTACTTAAGATGGTCTTGCAATAAGAATATATATATATATTATTAATATCGGGTCAAATGTATAAACTAATCTTTAAAAAATCTTGCAATTACAAAGTCGTCTTTTCTGCTGAACGCAGCCAATGATAAATGAATGAGTCGTCTGCAGGTGTTAGCGTTTGACTGCGAGATATCTTTGTACGATAATTATTTTATGTTGTTATTGAAATAAATTTCGTTTTCTCGTTTTTATATCTCCCTTAGTTAGATACAATTTACATTGTAAAACACAGCGTCGTGCTGTTTAACATCGGTTTACATAATGCAACTTTTTAGACAATCCATAATTCGTGGCAGAATTCAGAATAGAATTCTATTTGTAGTTATGTATAGCGTGTAATACATTTAATTAATCAAAATTAACAAAACTCATATACGTTGAAATATAGCGTATGCAATTATATATATATAGAATTCTAGCCTGAAATCCGATATGAATTGTATAGCAAATTCGATTAGGCGCACAGTGTGTAAACTAGTACATATACTTTTATTATGCTGTTAGATGAAATATGGACAAAACATAGATTAAAAAGTATATTTTTATTATTCGAAATATTTGTATTCATGTCTACAATATGCAAAATAAGCTTGGTGTAAGGATTAAGTAAGAGTAAGAAATTGACCAATCTCGAATGTGAGAAGAACAATCGATTTTGAGTAGTCAATTTCTTATTCTGTGTCCACACGATGCTAAAATTCGGTCGGAACTCTAGGACTGAGAAATATATGTAACCGCAATCAATTTGCCGTAAAAACTGCATGTTTGATTGGCTATACATTCCTAGATCCAAGAACTCGGACTAAATTCTAACACCGTGGACATATAGGGCTTTACATCTTATATATTATTATTACTCTACCCCGTTGTAGATAAACCACACGTTGGATTAAAATAGTGGTGTATGTACACACATCAGTATTTAATCGAATTTGCTAAGACCTGATTCCATCAATGTAAGATTTCGGTTTAATTTACTCATTATCTTTTCCTACTTTTAATGCCCATTTCTACCATAGTATAATTTTAATAATATTAAATCTCTATAAAACTTTATATTTTTTATCTTCTCCTAGTTCTAATAGAATTAGAAAAAGAGTAAACCGAGACTAAAGTTAATTTTGATGAAATTGGGCCTAACATATGTTCTCTAAAATCTGAAGTGAGCTTATAGATTTAAATTTGAGTTCAAGACACAACACATGCTAAACAATCGATATATCGAATCGCGCAAAGCAGATTGGCTGCGTTCGGTTTCAGGCATATGCGCGCATTTTATATAGTGAGCGTCACGTATACTATAGGGAAATGCGCGCATATGATATGTGTAAAACGGAACGCAGTCTATGAAGACCTTCGATTTCATCGATTTCTTTAGCTTGGTGCGAGTTGATAATTCTTGTGTACTTTCCAACAAGCGACACAGATGCCACTGTGTTAGGCCGGATTCACACCCGGAGAAGCGGAAAGCGAAAAAGCAGTAGCCAATCAGAACTCGCGTTGGTAGTAAGTAGTACAAAATTAACAAAAAGTCGACTACCAGCGCAAGTTCTGATTGGCTACTGTTGTTTTGCTTTTCCGTTATCATGACATCCTTGTTGTTCGCCATTAGGTGCACCCAGAAGCATGACCGCTCACTAAGCGCTCAATGAGCTTTTTCATCTAATTGGCATACTCCATTAGATCTAAAAATATAAACCAAACGGGTACAAGAGCTTACTGAGCGCTCAATGAGCGGTCGTGCTTCTGGATGCACCCAATGTTAAACAAGAATGAGATGATCACTGTGTAGTATCATATCACTTGTTGAAAGACACACACTGATAATCAATTCTAGCTTGAATTGTATTTCAAAATTTACTGCTATATTATTGAAAAATTATAGTGATATAAACTATAAAACGTCCTCTCCAAGGAAGATTTTATTAACATATGTTACATGTATCACATATTTTGAGTAAAATTTTCTTTAGAGAGGACTTTTTAGAGTGTCGTGAACAGTAAGGCTGAGTTTATGTTTCTGTTCTTAATCTTAAAATCCTAAAATTCAGCCAATAAAGCTGCCAGTTCTAATCAAAATCTGTATTCCATTGGCTGAATTTTAGAATTTTAGGGTTAAGCCGAAGACATAATGCGATGGAATAGCGATAGCGATAGACATAACAATAACTCATCTTTAGTCCTTTTCTCTCCAGGAGATGGGAAAAAGAAAAAAGATAAACTGGTGCAAAAGTTCAGCAATAATAAAGAACAGATCTTATATATCGCATATGTTTTTATACTATTTCTGTCGCTGATTTTGTCGCTGTTGTCTCGCGTTGTGTTTAGGGCTTAAAACCGAAGCATAAATCAGGCATAATCTCGGTCAAAAAATAGGAAGAAATCGTGGAAGAAACGATAATCGGATACGAGAAGGACCCGCGAGATGTATTCGAAGGAATGCATCTTCGATTCTTCGATACCTCGCTCGATTTGCCCGCACGGTCGCATAATCGATAGCATCAAAAACCGCCATATTTATCACGCGTACGTAGGAGACCCAGATTACCGCCAATTCTCTACAACTCGTGGTGTGGTAGGATTGTGTAGGAGTTAGGAATTCACACGCGTCGCTCCACGCGAGAATCAACGCAGGTAGTGAGGTTAACGAAAACAACGGACGTCGTTGAAAATAGTGCACGGTGAAGAATTTTACAGGCGTTTTGGATCGCGTCTCGTCCTGACCGGCGGGCTCGAGGTGATGCTACCCTGATCACTGTACCCCCTCTTGTGCGCCACAATGCCTGACCATTACTGCTTTGTGTGTACAAGTAACGAGGGTATCTTCGTGGACATCACGACTGATAATCGAGGCGCATTCGTCAACCAGATCAAGACGTGTTTGTCCGCCAAGGTAAACAACTGCGCAAGGAATCCTTCCCCTGATTCGAAAAGCTGCTTACGTTGTTCGACTTCTCGAACGTTGGCGCGTATTTGGGATCGATCCTCTGGATCTACATCCCGCAATCGTGCTTCGCTTACTCATTTTAACGATGTCTACATAATTGTCCTTCTCCATCAACTTTTACGCCGACATTTTGAAATAAATAGAAAACCAGTTCTATTCGGTTTTATTCGCAATATATATTATCGGGAAAAAATACAGAAGGGTAAAGAAGAGCAAACTTTCAAGTCCGTGAACGATTTTATCGAAAAGCGAGAACGCTCGTTAGAATTTTGGTACGCGAGAGAGATTCGCGATTGAAAGATTTCTATTGGGAAATGGGAGAATCGCTGCTTACGAGTTTCAATTAGAAGCACACCGGTTTATAGGTTAGATTCGGGTTTGGGACTCGCGGTGTCTCTCGAACGTGTCCGTTGTCTTTTTTTTTTTTTTTGTTCAAACGTGCCTATGTAATCGAGGAAATTGGCGTCGGATCGTTTGGTTCTCAATTTAAAGTGAAACGCATTTCTCGCATGATTAAACTCAATTACGCGTGCATCGGGATTCGGGAAGCGACGCGCTGCGCCATCTGTGAGCAGGACTTGTAATCTGCGCTCGCGAAAACAGGAAACAAAGATGGCGAAAGAGAGATAGAGGGAGGAAACGACGTTTGTTACTACGCCGTAACAAATAGTTCCGAGGTCCTGATCGGAAGTCGGAATACTGCGGTAGATAATGGGATTGCAAGTGATTGCTTGACGAACCATATGACTTGCATGCAGTTACGATTTATTTTGTTCAACAAGTGAAATAAGCAACATTTTCTTTGTAATAAAAAAAAAAAAAAAAAAAAAAGGAAGTGGAACTTGTCCGTCTAGTGTCCATCTCGTATTTCGTTTTACCGACATTTTGCGGAACGTACGTGCGTAATGTGTATGTGTCATGTGTGTATGTATATAAAAATTATACACAGTGAATGCTTTGCTTGGTTGATCTCCTGGCCGACTCGCAATTCCGTATTTTTATTTATGTCACAAATTTTGAAAAAAATTTGATTAAGACTCGAGTATTTTTGGATAATTATACAACTGGATACTTTTGTGTTGTGTTATTTTCATTGCATTCGCTCAGACTGTATTAAATTATTGTATTTAACTAGATATATTGATTTATTTGTTGATAAATATTTCGAACGTCTGTGTGTGTGTGGGTGTGTGTATCACAAAACAATCAAGTTTTTTGTTTCCTTTTATTTGTAATGAAAATTTTAAAATTGATAATGATAATTGGTTAATTTTATAATAATTGTCTCTCAAATTTATAACCTGTTCTATTGTCTTAGATTAACGAGAGCATTGATCTGTCGAACAAGATATGTTACAAGTGCGCGTATGAATTAGAGCAGTGCACTAAATTTGTACAAAAGTATGAGAACTCGCACAAGGTGCCAAAGCTGGAAGTTCAAAAGTCAAGACAATGCTGCTTTCTGTGCTGCGAATTAGTGGAAAGTGACCATATCTTTGACATTAGCAAGGATAAAAGCGTATTTAATCCTTTACGGAAGATCCGCAGCATTTTTAATGATGGTGTAAGTTTGAATCTCTCTTTTTTTGTGTCACAAGGAAATAATGTAATTACAGTTATCTATATTTGAAGTATTCTTTTCTTGCAGGTTAACACGAAAACCAATTTGTTATTAATATGTCTAACATGTCGATATAACTTGGATGTTTTGTATGATCTGAAAAGGATATATCAAGATTCATTTATCAATTTAAAGGCTTTAATTAATGAAGAGATAAACTATTCAAATTTTCCAAAGGTAATAACAAATTATTGTAAATTATAATGAATTATGTACACAATTGGAGTTGTGTAGTTTAACTTAATTTTCATCTTTTTCTAGTTTTAAGAATTAGAAAAGGACAAAGAGTAAATTGAATCAAAATTAAACTTTATTTATTTAGGTAGAAATAAATATGAAGGTCTCCTATTAATTTCCAGTTAAGTTAATTAACAGTTAACTCACAACAATGCTAACAGTTACATTCATTTTTACTTAATGTAAATTAATCTTTATTTAACTTATTTTTTATCTTTTTGTAATTATAAGAATTAGAAGATAAAAAGTAAGTTAAATGTTAAATCGTTATTAAAGTTAATCACAACTGATAGAAATAGACATTAGGGAAAGTGAAGAGAAAATAGAGTGATACAGTGAATTTCTTTTGGCACTACTGCAAGTTAATAGTCGGTTAGCAAAAATTGATAAAAGATTGATAAAATGCCAAAGATTGATAAAAGAGGCTTTAATGTAATATGAGTCTGATTTTTTCCTCTTATGCTAATTCTGCAACCTGTTATTAATATTAATTTTTAACCTCGGTCCCTTTTCTTTTCCAACTCCAACTAGCAAGGCTCTGTGTTCTTTCAATCTGGAATAGCAGTTTGAAATATTAAGACACTTTTGTGTTTGTAACGAAAGTAAAATCGTAATAATATTTTGATTTTGAGAGAAAAAATGGTTAGTGGTACAGACTGCGGAATTACTAAGAAGAAAAAATTAATCTCACTTTTTATTGTCCAATCATGTATATATTTCTTGTCTTATTGTACTTTATGTTGATTTGTTTATTTTCAATGGCATTTGTATTAATATTTATAATTATACTTTTTTATTGCAGATACACACAGATGTTGTAAATCGCAAAACTACCATTACCACGTTCCCAGATATCACAATTTATGGTTCAGTAAATTCTGATAGTGAAAGTAACGAGGAGAATATGGCACGAGGTAAACGACACATCAAAGAGCGTAAGGTACAGAGAAATGTCCGAAGGAAACCACAGAGCAACAAGTCAAAAATCAGAAATTGTGATAAGTGTCGTGTTGTTGTTGCAAATGACATCGACATGTACAGATTTTATCACACGGGTCTGACGGTTTGCAAAAATTGTTGGATAACGATGGATCCGAGTGTTGCTAAGCCGTATCGACGGTCTCGTCAGATACAATCCAAAACGAAGACAAAATTGTGCGCAGTTTTTTTGAAAGATGTGCTAAGTTATGAATCACATAAGAAAGATGAAACACGCGAAACGATGAAAGAAGAAACATATATTACGGAGAAAGATAAGACACACGAGATAGAAAAAGATAATGATGATAATGCATTGCCCGTTAGTTCTCAGGAAGAAATAAAATCTTTCGAAGAAAGTAATCCTTTGAGTATCTTATCTAAGAGGAGGAATCACATGGTTAATGGTAAAGCAAGACGAGGAAGAAAACGGAAAATTGACGTAGGAAGATCAAGAATTGATATTGAATTTACACCTTCGAAAGTTACAAGAGTCAATAATGAACAGGCAAACACGAACGAGGAAACATCATCGATAATATTGATCGATGCAGAACAACAGTCCAGTCCTCAGTTGATAAAAACGCGAGGACGTAAAAGAATACATATAGATAACAGGAATTCGGATTCAGAAGGTTCCCAAAAGCATAAAGCGTCTATTGATGCGGAGCAACAGTCCAGTACTCAATCGACGAAAAAACGAGGACGTCCAAAAACAATAGATAATAAGAGTTCGGATTCTGATAATCCGCAGAAGCAAACAGTATCGACTGATACAGAGCAACAGTCTAGTACTCAATCGACGAAAAAGCGAGGACGTAAAAGAATAAATAAGAGTTCGGATTCGGAAGGTTCTCAGAAACTAAGTGAGACAGATGAAATTAAATTAAATCAGAATGTAAATAAAACGAAGAAAAAAAAAACTGAAGAAACAACCTCAAACGCGCGTTCCGACTCTAGCGACGAGATAATATTCATTGAAGAAGACATGAATTTAGAAAGTAGGCTTTCAGTACAAATGGGTGATCGTACAAGTTCGCCATCGACTGCGTCTATAAAAAAAGAACAAAATACCAGCAGTAGGACAAGAACATCTTCTATATCTAGTACAGAAATGATATCGACGGAATTTAAAAGCCCGAAATCTCTTTTACAGTCGGAAATTAAAACAGAGTACACTTGCGACAAATGTAATAAGAAATTTGACACCAAGTTGTCCAGTGCGAAACATAAATTAACACATCTCAAGCAAGCTGCATTAAAACTGACAAAGATAACTATTACAGATATTAAGGAAAAACAAGAAATAGATCTTATTTTACAAGATGAGGTTTCCGAAGAGACGACGTCACGTTCCAGTAGAACTACATCCGTCGACAAACGAACCGACAATCCATCGGAGGACACTGTCATCAATGTCGAAAACTACACTGACGACGATCTTTCCAATTTAACCAATACAGATAAAAAAATGGAGGAAAGAATAAGTAATGAAAGCAGTGATAAACAGAATGTAACGACCAGTGAATCGCGCTTAAACGAAGAATCTGCGAATAATGAAAAAATTGAAATAACAGAATCTAAAAAATGTAAAAATTCAACAGTCATGTCGGACGATACAGTAATAGAGGTAAGGGATGATGAAGATAGACAGGATAAAGATGTAAAAGATGATCATAAAACAAAGGATGACGATAATACACCAAACAAAGGCAGTGATAAATTTGAAGATACTAATGCGCCGGAGATTACTATTGCAGTACTGAAAGATGATAAGAATATGAATGAAAATGAGGAGAAAGACAAAGATGTAGAAATAAACGACAACCTGGAAAGTTCTACAGAAAATATTAAAGAAAATATTAAAGAAAATATTACTGAATGTAATAATGATAAAATTGATGAGAAAGCAACAAATGATAATGAAATTACTACCTCATCAATTTTATCAAATCATGATAGAATAAAGAATGACAAGGATCAAGACGAAAGTTGCGAAAATAATTTGGAAAATAACTTCATAGATAATAGAGATGAAATAATAGAACAACCAGAAATACAAAGCGATTTAATAGACGAATCTTCGAAGATATGTGTAGAAGAATCAGAAGAAAATCTTCCAGAAATTCTGTCGACTGACGAAACAGAAGCATTAAATGAAAAAAATAATTTAGATGACATAATAACCATAAATGAAGAAACAGAGGAATTGGAAGAGCAACAAAATAAGTCCAATGAAGAAAATACGGAAGTCAAAATTAATGTAGATGTTGATGAACTTAATAGTGCAAGAGATATGCCAGATCTTCTAAATGGCGGAACACACGACGAAACAGAAGTGATGGAAAACAATGCTGAAAATGATGTCATCACAATAAATAGCAATGATGGTGAAACAAACTATAAAGAAGGAATGGAAGAAACAATCTCAACAGATAAGAACAGAAAATTAGAAGAAGAGCTAAAGCAGCTCGAAGAGTTTGTAGTCGAGAGTAATGCAATGAATAACAAGTATGAAGATTCAACTTATGTCCCGGATAGTAGCTCTGCGGATGCTGCAACCGAAATATTGAAGGAAGTATTTGAACTTGCTACTGCTGAAGTTCAGCAGCGGGAAGAGATTGTTACCACGAAGACTTTAGTAGACGACGTCGCAATAGAAATAGAAACACTGGAGAATATCTCACGTGAGATACGCAAGAGTGCCGATATGCCGTCTTTGGATCCGATTAGTGTCATGGATATAGACGATGACGGTATTATGTTGAACTAATTGTGCCTGTGGCAAACAATCACTACTGTAAATTTTGTCCCGTTTTTATCTAAGAAACTTATCTGTCGCGTGTGCACAATGCGTATCTACAGCTACAGGGAGTTTAAGTTGATTGAAAAAAAGAAAACATAAATCGCGAATATTTATGGACGTATATTTGATTACAAACTTATTCGTCAGTATGCTGAAGTTTTAAGATAATTCGCACTTTATATTCCTTATATTAGTCGAAAGACTTCAATGATCAGATGGTCTCCGATCAAATTCGCAAAATTTTTGTTTCTATATTTTAACGTATATTTATATCGTTTAAGAATAATGTTCATTAAATATTAAATATGGGTATCACAATAGCATTGACTTCATTGTTTTTCAAATAAACCAATTAGCTATATATAGAGCTGTGCTGTAGAATTTTTGCATTAAATACAGAAAGGACTAATTGGTTGTAAAATTAAGATATAAAAGTAAACTTGTGTTTGTAACATTTTATGTAGATACAAATATATATATATATAAACAATATAACTATATATATAATATATATTAAGGTCACATATAGAATCAATATCATGAAGGTGTTCGCATAATGATTTGGCAGAAATCTTTGTAATTTATATTTTGTTCGTATGGTATATAATAAGTTTCTCTATTCACTGTTCAGTGATAAGAAAACAATTCATCATAAATAATGGTTATGAATAAATTACAAAATTTTCAAGTATAAAACTGTAAAAAGGTTTTGAGGAGCAAATGTCACATTGACTATTATAATTGTTATATAATGAAAATATTCTGTGAGAAGTTTTAATGATAAAAAAAAGTTGCAGAAATTGTTGAAGCGATAATAATAGTGTATTTTTTTTTTTAAAGTTTGGCTGAGTCCACAACCTTGCTTTAAGAGGCCGTAAGCCGTAAAGCCGTAAGAAATTGACCAATCATAGTTGAATGCAAGAAAAATAATTTTCTGTGATTGGTCAATTTCTTACGGCTTAGGGCCTCTTAAAGCGAGGTTGTGGACCCAGCCTATTGTCATATGCTGAATGTTATTGATATGATCGATGTGATATAATTATTTTGGTCGGTGTTCATAGATTGTCTTAAGTAATATCTTAAGATGTGTTAATACGGCGGTATTCAATTTTTATATTTGAGACTGTATTAAGTCTCAAGCATGGCATAGCAGACAGTGCACTGTTTTATTATGTCAGAGTATCGATAATGAAACTTTTTCCTTAGTATGAAAAGTGAAAAATTTCTCCATTAACTTCAATGGTAAAAAATTTCACTTTTCACTTTCCATCCTAGGAAAGAAGTTTCATGATCGATACCCTGAAATTCTTTGATCCAGAAACCAAAATATTTACTTGTATTTCTTAAGAATATCCTTGTTCACAGAAACATTTTTCAAAGAGATCCGTTGTTCGGAACTGTATAGGTTCTCATATACTTGTTGCAATTGAATAATCAGCGTGCGAACCACTCTATGATAGAAGATCATAGACTTAAAACACTTATTGTAATCTCGGATCTACAATAAGTGTTTTAAGTCGTAAATTAACTAATTATAGTCGAAAATTCGAGGAGAATAATCGATTATGACTTGTCCATTTCTTATGACTTAAGCTTATGACTTTAAAATTATTGTAGATCCGGGATAATACAGGCCAGAGGCCTAATATAAAAGAAACAAGAGACTGTCTTACGTTCAGCCTTAACACATCATAAGTCAATCAGAGGGCTGTATTAGAGTTTTAAGGCATTACTTAAGACTAAATTTTTTAATTTCTTAATCAGACAATGCATTATTTGTCTGCACTGTTATTTAAAAATTGGAATTAATTTTTGAGTTAAGTATACTTACACACGCGCGCGCGTGTTGTAAAATAGTCTGGGAATGATATAATTTTGAGTGTAATATAATAAGTGTAAGAAACTTATGAAAGAAATTACAATTACGTATGTAAATCGCAAAAAAGTAACACAATTACACAATATAAAATTTAAAGTTATTACATTTTCCTATGTATGTACTCTAGGTATTTCATACACATAGTAGATATTTTAAAGATAATAAAACGTTTATCTTTTAATTATATAAAAGATATCTATATTAACATTATGCTATTGAGAATTAACAATAGATAACGTAGGAGCATTACATTCTTAAACGATTTTTATTAGTTTATTCAAATAGTATAATTGCTTGATATTATGGAAATAAATTATCTATACAGCACGCATAATATGTATAAAAAGGATTATTACAACACTTTTTGTTATTAAACATTACTTAACTGCGCACAAAAGCATCGCTAATACCCCTTTTTAGATTTAATATATCGGTAATATTTAAATTAAATAACAGTGAAGACTACTGAGAGCAATTGAGAGTCGCAAACAGTGCACAAGAATTGTAAAAAAAAACATTGCGAATTATTTGCGGCACTAGCTTTCAATTGCTCTCATTAATTTTTCATTGTTTTCTAATTTTGAAAGTACTTATTTTTATTATTTTATTGAAATTAAATTTGTAATTATTAAATTTTAATCTTTACCATAATAATAGAATGTCATAAAGTATACAAAGACGTTCGACCGTATTGATGTAATTAGCATTATACGAGTACTGTTTATTACAAAACATGTCACATCGTTAAGAGCAGATTGCGACTATGAGACGTCATCTCTGGTTTCCTTTTTATCAAGCTTTTTTGAACCTTCTGAAATGTGTAATAATATTGATATTTACTTATAATGTGCGTATCAAGACGCGGTACTCAAGACATTTAAGAATTGCAAGAGACGAACTTATGTAATGATTTTATTTAATTAAGACTTGGTTGATAAATGTTGTCTCTCACCAACGTGTAGCTTCTCTTTTTGCTCAATCCAAAAAAACGCTTCTACGATTTTTCCATTGACAGAGCACCGTTATTGCTTCCGGATCGGCAGCTCCGCATTGACGAACAAGATGGATATATTGATCGATGATTTCTTGTCCTGTTAAAAAAAAAATGATGGCATTTTAAATGTGTGGTATGTTCTTCGTATGCCTTGAAAAAGTATATAACTAGCCTTTCGAGACTCCGGCAAGAGCTCGCGCTTTATCAGCATCGTTGCATAAACCGAGTTTGTTATACATCTCAAAGGATTTTTCCAAATGCAAGGTGGCAATATCTAACATCCTCTAAAAAGAATACAGACTTATTTTCATATTGTTAACTCTCCAAGGAAATATTCTATTGATGTTTCACGGACACTGGTCTTTAGAGAATATGTAACATGTATATATTTAAGGTAAATATATCGGCCCGTGTTTTCAGAACGCTCTTTTATCGATAAATGTGTGCTTTCTGTAATTCTAAACAAATTTGTATATGTAATATATGAGATATATATATATATATATATATATATAT